AGTAAAGGCCCAGTGTTTCATAATCAGGTTCCTACGTTACATTAGGCTCCATAGTAATTCCTTTTGGGATTGCCTGTATAGAATCCCACTTAATAAACCACAAAAAGGAACTACTATGGAGCCTACTTAGAGGATCATGGGACTTAGTACGTGAGTAGGTTATAACTAGGCTTATAAGACCCCTAAGTGGGGTTATCCTAATTATAACCTACTTATGACCCTACTTACTAAGTCCCATGATCCTCCAAGTATGGGTAACTGATAGCCTGGCCGAACCCGGTCGTGACTTCTTTGATTTTGTCTGGGACTCGCCCTGGTCATGTCTCGGACCTCTACAGGACACAAACCGCTCTGCAGCCCTGCAGCAACTGCTGTGGGGGCCTTAATAACAATTAGAATAATGGTTTTGGGGCCCAGTATACTATTATAATATGGAGCCCCCAAAACAGTACCGGTAATTATTAGGGCCCCTGTAGTGCTGTCTTACAGGGCCGGCGACAGGGCAGGTTCCGTCCCGAGAACAGCTCAATCCTTGAAGTGTCGCGCTCCGATTGATGATGTATGCACCATGCGATCCCCAAAATCCAACCGGCCATTCACCCCACCAGCAGTGTGAAGGCTCTGCTTTTAGGCGAACTGGCGCATGTCCCTTTCTTTGCTGAGCCCAAGATGATTTGTCTGATCTCATGCCGCACTTAGGAGGCAAGGTTCCTTTGGGACCACCTACTATCACCGTCAGCGTTGAGCAGACGCCGGGGCAGGGGCATCGTTCTCGGGAAGGTCTGCCCCAGGGACGCGCCTTCGGCGCTCCCCAGAGAATTAACGCGAGCTTTGCAGGGACAAGGGCTGCGTCCCTGCATGAAGTGTAGTTTAGCTTGACATGACCCTAGGTCTGAGAATCGGCCTACTGTGCTACTCCGGCACATGATATGACGTAGGTCTCCGGGTTTAGAGTTTAGGGCACTATTCAACGGACTGGGTTCCCGATTGGCCTCTTAATTCTACAGTGCCCCCTTTTTCTACCATTTGGTTGTCATAAGGGAACCCGAAAGGGGCAACAGGGTATATAAAACCCTAAACGCTAAACCTTAAACCGCTATAGGCAACACTCCTACAGCAGCCGGCTGTGCAGCTCAGAGCCCAGAGAAGAAGCGCGCCGCCTCCGCCAAGGGGCCAGCATGTCGATCCCTGCTTTCCCCACTTAGAGGATCACGGGACTTAGTACGTAAGTAGCTTATAACTAGGCTTATAAGACCCCTAAGTGGGGTTATCCTAATTATAACCTAATTATAACCTACTTATGACCCTACTTACTAAGTCCCATGATCCTCCAAGCAGGGTTTAGGTTTCGGGTTTACGGTTTAAGGCTCCAGATACCTTTCTAATGGGTTACTAAACCTGGCAAACCCCTGCCTTAAACTTCGGGTGAGAGAAGCGATGGACTTCATGTCTGTATGGCAATAAATACATACGAGTAGTGTTGCTTAGGACTCCTTACTCTAGTGATGCTATAGTATACTCAAGCCCTGCATGTCTATGGCCCCTGATACTATAAAGTAAAAGCCAGAAAGTTGGAATATGATTATCCTAAACCCTGTATGGTAAGTTATAAGGTATCCCACCCTGAAACCATATTCCAACTTTCTGGAGTTCCCTTTACTGAATGGTTCAGCTGCTCCAACTCAGGTCTGGAGCCCTACCCGACAGTGGGACGCGAGCTCAAGCAGCCCAGAAAACTGTCTTAATGCAGCGATGGAACAGGGTTCTGCGCTTATAGAACAGGGATCTGGGCTTCTTTATAGCATACTTGCAGAAAGGAGCCCTAAGGAATGCAATTCTATTGGTAATTCTTCCATCTTCTACATCTTGGAGGGTCGGGGGACTCAGTAAGTAGGTAGTAAGTAGACTTATAAGTACCCTAAAAGGGACCCAAACTGAGGTTATGGTACTTATAAGTCCCTAAACTTACCAGTCACTAAGTCCCCCGACCCTCCTAGATCAGTCTGTGGAAGCTCTTCGCATGGCAGCTCATGAAGCAAGGGTTTCGCGACGATGCAGTTCTTCAACACTCACAGAGGAACAGTCCTAAACCCCACACCCTACTTAGAGGATCATGGGACTTAGTAAGTAGGTTATAACTAGGGTTACCTACTAAGTCCCATGATCCTCAAAGTAAACCACTAAATCTTGAATCCCACCCCCTGAAGTACTAAGCGCACTTCATCTTACTTCCGTGAAGGGCCTTGATCTTAAAATCCCTTGCTTTTTCCTTAGTTGGCTTTAGGCCTTAGGGTTTGGGGGAGGGCATTAGTATATAGGCGTCATTAATTAGACTAGGGTTGGGGGATTTACTACAGTTATAATAAGAAAGCCCTGAATAGTATCGGTATTTATTAAGGCCCCTATATTATACTATTATACCAGGGTGGTTGTCAGAATTATGGTCCGTTTTTGCGTACCTAATTTAGTAAGGCACCTAATATTTAGGGTAACCAAAAACGGACCCTAATTTTGACAACTACCCTTTTGTAACTCTAAACCCTAAATCCCTTATAGAACCCTTATGGATCCCTTAAAGGAGCCGTATTTGGGTATAGGGACCCTTAGGGTTACACCTGAATCCGACATGGAACAGAAGATCCGCTGGCCTGCTGCTGCTTCTGATTTCCGAGGCCCCCTGTTTAGGGTTTCTAGGGTTTCTAGGGTTTTTAGGGCTTAGGGTTTATAGGGTTTACGGTTTTAGGGCTTTAGGGGTTTCGGGTTTTAGGGTTTAGGGGTTTAGGGTTTAGGGGCTTAGGGGTTTGGGGTTTCGGGGTTAGGGTATAGGGTTTCCTACTTGTCGGGTATCATGGGCAACTAAAGGTGAACCTTTTTGGTTATATAGGGATTCTATAGGGACTATACTACCCAAAAAAAAAGTTAAAGGTTACCTACTCGACTACTAGGGCCAGGGATTAGGGTTTAGGGTTGCGGGTTTAGGGTTCAGGTTTTAGGGCAGTCGGGGTTGAGTTGGGCGAGGTTTAGAGGCCTAGGGGTTTACGGAGGAAATAAACTCAAAGGGGTAAAGGAGGGGCCCTTAATGGGGACCCCTACCCCTATAATGGGCTATATAATGGGTATATAATAGCTATATTTCAGGGTATATACCTAGGGGTCCTTACTAAGGGTCCGTCCTTTTACCCTTGGATAAACCGGGTAAATAACACCGAGGGTGGTACTTTCCGCTCTGGTGTGTCCGTGTCCAAGGCTTTGCCGGCTCAATTATGGCCCAAAGGCATTCCAGCAGGCAATGCAGGTTCATGACGACGTCAAAAACCCTAAACCCTAAATCCTAAATGCCCCTACATCCGAAACCATAAACCCTAAACTAAAGTTTAGGAATTTAATTTGGGGTCTGAACCCAAGATACCGCCAAAACCCAAGCCCTAAACAGAAGTTTACATGGTTTGGGAAGTCAGCCACGGAAAAGGCTCCCCTACCTTCTCACCACTCTTCCTCCCCTAGGGTTTTGGGTTTAGGGGTTTTAGGGTTTAGGACTCCTGCCTTCTTTCTCCCCAAAGTCTCAATTCACAAAAAACGAAAGGTCTCGACGATTGAAACTGACTTTTTTGGGCACTATGCTATAAAGGGCTTAGGGCTTAGGGTTTTAAGGTTTACGGCTTAGGGTTTACGTTATGCTATAAGCATAATAAAGAAACCTCAGGAATAAGACTGCCAACTACTATCCCGGCCTCCTGGTCGTTTTGAGCCCAGAGACCCCCCGGCCTTCAACCCAGAGAGCCCAATTTACCCTTTAATTCAGGAATGTAGCTATTATAAACCCTAATATGGAAAATATAGGAACCCTACAAAAAAATAGGTTTTGGGAGGTTAAGGTATAGCTTAAATCATAATATGACGCCCCTCATAACTTAAGGTAATATTGCTTAATTAAGAAGTATTGGGCTCTCTGGGAATCGCACAGCTCCAAAGTTGCCCGGTAACATAGCAATAATGATAGCAACATAGTAATAGTAATAATAAGAATGGTAATAATAGTAATAATAGTAATACTAGTATGATAATAGTAATAATAGTAATGATAGTAATTTCAATAATAGTAATAGTAATAACAGTAATAAATGGTAATAATAGTAACTCGGCCTGGAGCCGCCTTCTTCTTCTTCCGCTTGTCTTTCAGCTTCTGGCGCTTCTTGGGCCGCTCGTCCTTTCGAGGGGCTTCAACGAGGGCTGCGGTCGGGCTTGCAAGTTTACAAAATGCGCGAACTCTACAGTGCTCTTCGACTTACCTTTGGCTAGTAAGGAATGGAGGAATGGGGTACAATTATAACTACGATTACTACCATTCTTCCATTCCCTACTAACCAAAGGCAAGTCGATGCAGACAACATGTGCCTGAGAAGTTCCTCGGGTTGCAGGGCACAGCGGGGTTGAAACGAGTCCACCCTGTTGCCTCGTCGCTGCTGTCTGCGGCCTCGTCATTTTCGGCCTCTCCGGCCGCAATACCAGAGGCCTCCTGAAGCGAAACTCGGGCTCAAGGCACTAAGTTGTTGCTGCCGTCGTCGTTATTGGTTGCGTTTGCTATGGCTACTGCCTTGTGCTTAGCTCTCGGGCTGTACACATCTTCGAGACGCAGGGTTTCAAGCCTTCAGCGCCGAATGTTCGACCTGCAACCCTGCCTGTGAACCTCTGCGCTGAGGTATCGGATACCGAAAGTGAAGTGAAACTACTATATAAGATACAAAAAGCATGCATCTTCGGAAGAATCAACAAAAACCGCTGCCACACCCAAAAACTCTCCAATAAATGGGCCTGAGTCATTCCTAAGCCTCCAAGCCCCTAAACAAAACCCAAAATCACTCAAAACCCTGAACCGCTAAACCCTGAAACCCCAAATCAAAAAAAAAACTAAACCCCGATCGCCCCGGCACCTCCATAACAGTAGCAATAACAACCATGATACAATAATGATAAAAGCAATAGTAATAATAGTAACAATGGTAGTAATAATAATAATAATAACAATAATAATAGTAATAATGCCTGTAACAATAGCAACAATAACGAGACATGCTCTGAGCCCCAGCACCTCCCCGAAGATTTCGGCCCAGGTCTCGCCGGCCAAGAGCCGCCTCGCCTCCTCCGCCGAACGGGACTTGCACAGGGTTTGGGGTTTAGGGTTTGGGGGGTTTAGGGGGTTTAGGGTTTGGGGTTTGGGTGGTTTGGGGGGTTTAGGGGGTTTAGGGTTAGACTGCTTGAGGTTTTACAGGGCGTTGGGAGTTGTTGGGCTTAAAAGGGATCTAGAAGGATTCCTTTAAGGGGTCTACAAAAGGGTCTGGGGTTTTACAGGGCTTTGAAGGTTTAGGGGCTTTTGGGGATCCTTGAAAGGGTCGATAATAGGGCTTCGGGGCTTCAGGTTGCAAGTGTTTGAGGGGTTTAGGGGGGACTTTGGGCTCCTTTGAAGGGATCTACCAGGCTTCTTTTAAGGGGTCTATAACGGTGCTTGGGAGCAGATAAGGTCTACAAGGTTTAGGGCCAGATCTAATCCCCCAAACCTCAAATCCTGAATCCTCAAGCCTAAACCCTGCATCCTGAACCCTAAACCCTACACCCTGAAGCCTAGAGTACTTCCTGCATCCTAAACCCTAAACCTGCAATCCTACGGTAATTCCTGCATCCTAAACCCTAAACCTGCCTCGGTGGACCAAAGCAGCACAGAGGGCTTGCCGTGCGCCGTGGAGGCCAGTAGTTTCTCATCCTCAGGAGGATTCCTTCAATGGGATCCTTTAAGAGATCCTTCAATGGGTTTTTTGGAATAGGGTTTAGGGGTTTAGGGTTTCGGGTTTAGGGTTTAGTTCGGGTTTGGGGTTTAGGGCTGAGTGCTCGTATTCCCGGGATCCTTCAAGAGATCCTCTAATGGGTTTCTTGAATGGGAGCCGTTAAGAGATCCGTTAGTGGGTTTCTCATTTTTGGCAGGATGCCTTTACAGTAGAAGCCCAAAAGTTGGAAACCCAAGATCCTCCATCCTTAAGAGTAATGTATAGGGAATCCCAGCACTATTTGGCCTTAATCCGGTTTCCAAGTTTATGGGGTTTACTGTAATGGGAAGATCCTTTAATGGGTTGTTTTGATGGGCTCCTTGAAGGGATCCTTACAGGGTTTCTGGCCATGGGTAGTTCTCTAAAGCAGGGTCCCTTTCTAGGAGCCTAAAACAGTATGGCACCCTTATGTACATGGACCCCTAGAAGGCTTAAAGGGCCACTGATTTAGAGAACACCCCATGGTGATGGCTACGAGATGCTTGCGAAATGGAATTTTGATCACCTAAGCCCTACTTTAACCCTGAATAGCCCACCCTTTAGGGTTCCTTGTTATGGTTTCCTTATATAGGTCCTTAAAAAGGTATGTTATTCCGGGTTCAGGTAAGCCCTGTCAGTATGTCTGTTAACTAGGGTTACAATTAGGGCAACTATACTTATAGCCCCACCATGATCCTCTAAGTAAGCCCTGTTTCAACGTCGCTTCGAATTGAAAGACTCGGCATCACGGACTCCAAGAACAGGTTGGCTCTCAAAGGTTCGCGGAAACTGGGATTTTGTTGATCAGGGATATAGTTTAGGTTACCCGTCGACTTAGAGGATCAAGGGCCTTAGTAAGTAGGTTATAATTAGGGTTATAAGTCCCCTAAGTGGGGTTGTCCTAATTCAAGCCTACTTATAACCTTACTTACTAAGTCCCATGATCCTCTAAGTAGGGATCTATAGTACATAATATGGTTGCTTTTCCTTTTGCTAAGTTATGTTGCCATAACAGGGATCTATAGTAAACAACATGGCTTCTTCATTTTGGTAAGTCAACCTGAGAATAAACCCCGTAACATGTCCACCACTATGGTAACTGAAAAAAACGTCCCTAAACCCTTAAAGGAACCCTTATGGATTCCTCAAAACGAACCCTAATGTATCCCCATTAAAGTAACTTAAACCAAATCCCTATACCCGTAGAGGAGCCCTCATAGATCGCTTGAAGGACCCATTATAGTTCCCTTGTTTCCGTAACTCAAGATAAATCCCCTAACCCCTAAACGCTTGCAGAACCGTTAAAGGAACCCTAAAAGGAATCCTAAATTATGGTAACTTAAATTACATCCTTTAACTTATAGTTTCCTTATGCCTGTAACTAAAGTTCAACCCTTTAACCCCTAAGCCTAAACCGTTATAGAACCCTGAAAGGAACCCTAGAAGGAATCCCAAACTATGGTAACTTAAAATCAAAGCCTGTGACTTATAGTTTCCTTATTATGGTAACTTAAGTTAAATCCCTTAGCAAGACCCAGAGATCCCAATACCCCTTCATTAAAGAACATACCTTAAATTATGATGGGATCCCTGGCATGATTAAAGGTATATTCCTTAATGAAGGGGTATTGGGCTCCCTGGGGAGCCCAAGGAAGCTGAGCCCTGCGCCGCAGAAAGTGCCAAACGCTCCATGGGGTACTCGGCACTGCCATGCCTTGCAGAGATGGCGAGTCTAAGTCTACCCCGGTTTAGGGTTTACATAAACCCCCCAAAGTAGGTAAAATAATGGCCCAATACTTATAAAAAGCCACTATTCTACATAATTTGGGAGCCAGGTAGGGTTTAGGGAGGATCATGGGACTAAGTAGGTTATAATTGGGGTTATAAGTTATAAGTTCCCTAAGTGGGGTTATCCTAATTATATCCTACTTATAACCTTGTGGCGAGTTTTATCCCGCTACTCGGAGTCTATTTGGGAGTTTCCGGACAGAGGGGGGTATCTGATCGTGGGGTCCTTAAAATCAATATCCTGCTATTTAGGGTAGGAGCTGAAAGCTGCTGAGTTTTCGGGCATTGAGGCCATGAATCTCCAAACAGAAACATCTCAAGATCTGGGCCGGCAGGCCTTGGACCCTGATGCATAAGCTCCCTAGACCGTACACCCTATTGTACCCTACTATGACCCTTCTACTTAGAGGGTCATGGGACTTAGTAAGTAGGTTATAACTAGGGTTATAAGTCCCCTAAGCCCTAACTGGGGTTATCCGAATTACAACCTACTTATGACCTTACTTACTAAGTCCCATGATCCTCCAAGTACCCCTGACACCCCACCCATTACAGAGTCGACAAGCAGATTCTGCACAGCGATCCCACGCAATTTCTCCAAATTTCTGCTCTCTGTTTCGCCTTCCGACTCTAACTATTCACGGCCCTATTGATATGGGTCGTTGTCAAAATTGTGGCCCTTTTTTGGGTACCCTAATGTTAGGTGCCGTATTATGATAAGGACCCCAAGAAGGGACCCTAATTTCGACAACCACCCATATGTAACTCTAAATCCTTTAAAGAACCCTTGTAGATCCCTTTAAGGAACCCTTGAAAGGATCCCTCTTGATATCTTAAACCCTCCGTAAACCGATAGATCCTAAAGCCTAACCCCTAAACACGTGGATCCGAAACCCTGCCCGTAAGCCCGAAATCCCAAACGCTGAAGCAGTAGACCCTAAACCCTAAGCCCTATGGAACCATTATTAAGGGAACCTTATTTACTAAACCCTAAACCCTCCAACTAATCCTGGGGCGCTAACTCGCCAAGCAGGCCCAGGACGCCGCTGCCAAGACCTCGCGGACGGCCCGTGCTCGTTATTTCGAGTTTCGGGCTTAGGGCTTAACCCTAAGAACACTAAGAACCTACCTTTTGGGGTTCCCAATTATGATTTTCTTCCAGAAGCCCTTAAAAAGGGTAGGTTCTTCCGGCTTAAGGTAGTAAGCATGTTGACATTTTTGTTGAGCTCCTGCTTATGTCTGCCCTACCATCTAGTAGGGACTTGAGGTTTAGGGGTTCAGGGCTTTAGGGTTTAGGGCTTTAGGGTTTAGGGTTTAGGGGTTTAGGGGTTCAGGGGTTTAGGGGTTTAGGGATTTAGGGCTTAGGGTTTGGGGTTTTTGGGGTTTCGGGTTTTGGGAATAGGATTTGAATTTTTTAGGATTGAAGGTTTCGGATTTAAGATTTAGGGCTTCGAGTTTAGAGCCGTTTTCGGGCTGGCTTGAAACTTAGCAGTTTGAGTTTGGGTTTAGGGTTCGGGGTCTTCGGGGCCTGGGGTGTATAGAGGACATGGGAATATGGAAGTGTAGCTAGCGAGATATCGTCATAGCATGGCAAAACTACAACTAAGGCTTATCAGCTCGACTTTCCCTAAACCCCAAACCCTTAACTCTAATTAAATTCAGGCTTATATGCTTGAATTTGAAGCTTGGAGCTTCGCAGGTGCTTTATCGTTAGCATTTCGGAGTTTCCGAAAATAGGGGACCCGAATAGAGTACCCCAAATAGTAGGGTCCTTATTATAAGGACACCCAAATAAGGTACCCCTAATTTTCGGAAACTCCCATTTAGCCGTATAGTTGATTGAGCCGTTCCGGACGAGGGTCTTGGGAATCTGGTCAAGGATGTGCACATGCTCCGGCGATAGGGTTAGTGCGTAGGGGTCCTTTATAGGGTACTATAAGGGCTCCTTTAGATGTTTGAACCTCGGGGACCAAATGACCCTTACAAGTAGGGGCTCTATACCCTTATGCTATGAATCCCCATGTAGTATATGATTCTTAAACCCTTTTGAAGTTCATTTCGCCCTTAAGGAAGGTTGAATGCCTTCTGGTGACTACTCCGGGATACTATTTCTTATTCAAGAGCCCCCCTGCTGTGGGGCACCATCATTAATTAGTCGGAATATCCCCATGTAGACCCCATCAAGCTGTACCCCCAATTTGCAAATGAAAGCTGTCGGAATGCTCACATCCCAAACCCTACAACCCTAACCAGCAAAACACTAAAAACCTCTAAAACCCTAAACCCCGCAGCCCTAAAACCCTAAACAAACAAACGCTAAACCCCTAAACCGCTAAACCCTAGCACCCTACAACCCTAAACCCCTACTGAACCCCTAACGCCCTAAAACCCTTAAACCCTAGTCTAGATCCCTTAAAGGAACCCTCCTAAATTCCTTTAAAGAACCCCACCACCAAAAAGAAACACGAAACCCCGTGGGGCGCGCATGGGCTCTCCGCCTTTGCTATGGACGGCCACGACGCGGATCTTTCCGTCCGAGGATCCGGTGAGGATGCCATCCTTCCCAAGCTTCATTCGGCTTAGGGTTTATGGGTTTAGGGGCTTGAGGGGCTTTAGGGTTTAGGGGTTTTGGGGTTTAGGGCTTAGGGTGTAGTTGCCATGCTTCCGAATCTTCGTTATAAGGGTTTTTGGAAGGGGTTTAGTGTTGATCTTCGGCTTAGGGTTCAGACATGCTTCGGTTTAGGCTTTTTAGGGATCAACAGTAGGGGTGGCAAAGGGATGGGGTAGTTCTACGACTGGGCTCCTGAGTGGCGCCTTTATAACAAGGGCAACCTTTTTGCTACTAGCCGGTTCTAATATAAACAGAACAAAAGGGTAGTACTCAGGAACCCTTATAGTACACATATAGTGTCCTTATTATAAAACCCTTAAAGGGCCCTTATACTGGTGCATAGCCCAGTTTCTGGCGACGGCGCTGGACAGAGCGAAAATACACTCCACGTAAGCGACTGTGCTGCAGCGGACGCTGCAGCACGTCGCTACTCGACATGGTCGGGCGGCAGCGGAGCGAGAAACAGAGTCACGTGAAGCCCTGCATGGGCCATGCAAGGGGAATCGGACCCCTCGAACCATTCGGCAACGATCTGAAGGCCACCTTCTGTGCAAGGGAGACTCATGTAGTTGGTTGATACATTGTCGGAGCTGAGCTCTGCCACTTCCACATGAAGGTATACCATGTGCACGTCAAGGATGCCGAGCTCTGAGTCATCTAGCGGCCGCGCCGACAACACGACCATGACGTGCTGCCATGGTCTTGGCACTGCTTGGTAAACAAGAATGCTGCCGGCGATCTCGGCACAGTGCATTGGGCGCCGTGGGGTGCTTCTTCCTGAGGACTTTATGACCTGCCAACACCATGATTGCAAATATTTGCTAACAGAACGAAGACCGTTCAGAGGCAAAATTTGGCTGGTTTGAATCATTACGTGCCTCAGCTGTACTTGCTGACGCTCTTACTGCATGGGTTAACTGCTATCCCTGCTGCATGTTGCCAGCTGGATCACCGCTGCATGTTCATGTTGCTGCTGGCTCGCTTTCGTTGGCTCCGGCTTGCACCTTGAGCCAAGGGTTTGAGGTGCAGGGTTTACGTGCTGTTAGGGTTGAGGGTTTAGGGCTTAGGGTCTATGTGCTGTTATTGTTTAAAGCTTAGGGCTTAGGGTGGATGGTTTAGGGTTTTCAAAAAATGGGACCCCGCTGCAGATGTAAGGTGCAACGGCGGCAACAAGGAGACTGGCCCTTGACCTCAAAGAAACAGTGACACACCTAGGTTCCAGTATGTAAACCCTGAGCCTAAAAATCATGGGCGTTCCAACTCACTCCCTGTATGCTAGCACAGTTCTGCAGTAAGCAATCAGCAAATCTGGACCCAAACTGTGTTATTGTCAAAGGGCTTAGCTTACGTTGCCTCACGAAGCCCAGACTGGCTTCCTTTGCAAGACGCAAGACCCAAAGGGTCCTGGGTACTATACTGATCTTAGAACCCTAGCAAAAATTGTAATTTTAGCTGTTTCTTAGGTATTATAATCACCAAAAATTACAAAATATTTCTAAGAACCCCTAAGGGTCTTGTTATGGGGGATACTTCCCCAAATCATAATCGTAATTCCTAACATCGAAACCCTGCATTCTACTATTTGGGTGGTTGTCAAAATTGTGGTCCCTTTTTGGTGGCACCTAATTACTAGAGTTCCCAAACAGGGACCTTAATTTTGACAACCATCCATATGTATATGTATGTCTGCATTCTACTATATGGGAGTTTCCGAAAATAGGGGACCCCAACATAGCACCCTAAATAGTAGGATCCTCATCATAAGGACCCCAAAACAAGGTACCCCTAGTTTTCGGAAACTCTCAAGCCCTTTAAAGGAACCCTTAAAGTGCCCGTATAGTAACCCTTTAAACCCTAATCATAGGTGCCGTATTATAATAGGGACCCAAACAGGGACCCCTAATTTTGACAATCACCCATATGTAACTCTAAACCATCAACCCTTTATAGAACCCTTTAAGGATCCCTTTAAGGAACCCCTTTTAAGGATCCCTTGATATATACATATATACATATATACATATACATATACATATATATAGAGAGAGAGAGGTACTTTGGGCCCTTTGGGAGCGCCCAGCAAAAGCCCCCCCTAAAATCGCAAGCGCCTCGGCCAGTTTCACCATGGCATCCACGGACATCGGATGGCCCTTTATTCGGTCCTCCCGGTTGATGAGGGTACCATAGACCCCTTATAGTATCCCTTAAAAGGAACCCTATTCTAATTATGAAGGCCTCTGAGGTATTACGGCTGATGATCTAAGTCCTGGGCTTCCTTTGAAGGGATCTCTAAGGGTACCTTTAAGGGATCTGTAGGGGGTTTACGGTTTAGGGATATAAATCCTGCACTACCTTGAGGACCCTAAACTGTGGGAGCCATGGTATATGTATTCCTTATTAAAATCACCTTAAGGACCCTAAACTGTGGGAATTATGGCATATTCCTTATTATGAGTAATGCAGAATTTATATCATCAACCGTCCCGGTGAGTTAGGGTTTAGGGTTTAGGGGTTTCAGGAATTTAGGGGTTTTAGGGGGTTTAAGGGTTTTAGGGGTTTAGGGTTTTGGTTTGGCGCAGTGGAATCGGGTATTGGGGGAGCCGTTTTTATGTGGTTCTACCAAAGAACCGACGGAATGGCCTTGGGAAATCGAGGTCACTGTGGGACGTTCTCCTGCATTTTGGGATGCGGTCGAAACTCAGCAATACTTGGATGATCCGGAGGGTCGGTGTGTCAGCACCCTCAGAATTGTGGTTCTGGTATCATAGTACAGTTATAGTAAGGAGCCGCATGGAACACCAACAACACTGTAGGAGCTTGGTTCTGGGATATGCTACTGCTAATATTATCATTTATTGCCACCGGCGGCAGTCGTGCCCTCTTGAGTAGATCTCCTACCGTTACCCAGAGGGACCCTTAGGGGGGTAGGGGGAGGGAGGTAGGGGGCCTTCATGAAGGACTCTATAAGGCCTTTTTTGAGGAAGTATACTCCCTTACCCCCCTCCCCCTTAACCCCCCTAGGGTCCCTTAATGATTCGAGCAGGGGCCGTAAACCTGAAACTAGGACTTTGCTACCTAACCCGAAAGGAGGCTTGGCAAGTAGTTTCTCAATCCCCCATCACCCACCGAACCCTCGGACCTGCCACCCCTTAAACTTAGTGAAGTGGCCTTAACAATGAGAATAGGGCTTTTGGCGTGTACTTTGCTCCAATTGTTGTAAAGAGAATCAGGGGGATATTGGCAGCAAGCCCCCGGTAAACCCCGAAAGACATCTATAAACAGGGAACTTTTCTTTACAATCCCTGATAGAACCTTATAGAACCTCAAAGAGACGACTATTACTACCTAATATAGGAACCCGATTAAGAAACCTTAGCGTCAGGTACTGCCCCCAAACAGTAAGAGTCTATAGTAGGGCTACTAGAAAGGTCCTACTATATCCATATTATGAATATTCTTCAACTATTACTGAGTGGGGGCCGTACCCAAGCTCTGGGTGTTCTGCGTTGCAAACTCCGGAATGACCCCTTTCCTTCTGGTCTCCGAAGTCGCCCCAGCTGAAGATAGGAAGGGGACCTCGTGCGAAGCTGCTGGCTGGGTTTAAGATGGGTTTAGGGTTTAGGGCCTAGGTGATGGGAGGCCAAAAGGGGGGTGTTAAGATTCTTAGGGTAGCCTCCTATCACTAGGGTTCAGGGCTCTGGGGTTTGGTTTTCAGGCCTTAGGGTGGGGTTTAGACGTGAAGGTTTCGATTTAAGGTATAGCGGCTTCGGCATGCAAATGATAAGCTTCTAGTGTAGTTATCACCGAATACACCCCGAAACCCGAGTTTTAACATACTCCCGTAAATTTTCCTTCCAGCATATAAGTTGCGTCAGACCTGAGCGCCCCGCCTGTCTGAGTCCCACATATGACCTGCCAGTGCATCTTCAGGTTCGCATCACGACTACTAGTGCTATTAGTATTACTACGATTGATATATTCCTCATCCTCATTATATTACTTGTCAAGTTAAGACGTTACATACAACATCAGTGGTCAGGGGTGCGGGCAGCAAACCTATGGTGGCAGAGGCGGTTGGGGTTTGGTGACAGCGTCTCAATGCGGTCTTGCGGGGTCCTCCGCAGTCCTAATCCTTCGGTTGCCACAAACCCTAAACCCTAAACCCTCAATGAACCCTAAACCCTAAACCCTCAACCCTAAACCCTCAACTCTAAACCCTAAACCCTAAACCCTCAACCCTAAACCCTAAACCCTAATCCTTCGGCAACCTTCGACGGCTCAGTTCGTTGCCCTGTTCCTCAATCGGTGATGAGATTGATCTCCCAAGAGCCTCCAATAGCCCGTAATCTACCTTAAATTTTATTAAGAATCCTACTATGATTTAAGGTATGTTCCTCAAGTAAGGGGTTTTGGAGGCTCTGGATCCTACTATGATTTAAGGTGTATTCCGTAATTAAGGGCTATTGGAGGCTCTGGGCAAAGTCTCAAAGTGCCAATCCCCCGAACCCTTGTCCCCAAACTCTTCAGATTCAAGACCCCCGAACCCCTACCCAGAAAGCCCCATACCCCTGAATTAAGGCATATGCCTTAAATCATATTAGGGATCCTATAAAAGTCTAGGGTTTATTCCTTAATCCCTGGGTATACACACCCCGGACTCCCCAAAACCCCCTCGAACCCCTCAGCCGGAGCCGCGAAAAGCACCCAACACCAACCCAGAGAGCCCAATACTTCTTATTTAAGCAGCATAACCTTTAAAATATAAGGGGCTTGCTTCACATTATGATTTAAGCAATGTACCTTAAATCATAAGGGGCTTCATATCATGATTTAAGCTACATTCCTTAATTAAGGGGTATTGGTCTCTCTGGGAAGACATGAAACCTCAGCCGCTTGGTTTGAAAGCGCACAGGTTACGGCGTATGTTCTGCTAATATGTCATGGGGACCACAAACGGGGACGCCCTTAGTAATTACTTCGGGGGACTTAGAAAGTAGTTCTTTTTTGACTTATAAGTATCGTAACCCTAATTAGGATCCCTTTTAGCATACTTATAGATCTGTTTACTACCGACTTACTACGTCCCCCGACCCTCCAAGTACTCCGACTTCCAGAAAAACCAACCATGCGGGTCGACCTTTGAGCCCTGCTTCACGATAGCGATCTTGGATGCAGAGGGTTTGCTGTTTCGGGTTTAGGGGTTTAGGGGCTTAGGGATTAGGGGTTTAAGGTTTAGGGTTTATGGCTTTGGCTTTAGGGTGTAGGGTTCAGGGTTTAGGGTTCCGGGTTTAGGGCTTCGGGGTGCTCTTGGCTGTCGGACTTTGCAACACATGGGTTCACCACGCGTAATGCAAACATATGCATGTACATAAAGTTACATACGTACACACGTACGTACATACATACCTGCCGACCTACGTATACGTACATACATACATACATACATACATTTACATGCATGTGCTTGCGCATATGCGTATGTGCATACACATGTGTGTATGTTTGTTTCTACACACGAAAATTTGCGCGCGCGCGTAGATGCATGCATGCATATGCACATACATGCCTGCTTGTATGTGTCTATATACATACATATGCATGCACATAATAGCTGTGTATATATGCATGTATTACTGTATTTATGCATGTTTAGGTATGAGCTTTCATCTTGTAGAATCGTAGAACACATCTTGCAAATGAGCGCTGAAATTTCACACCCCTCAACCCTTGACCCTATATACAGTGCTATGGCCCTAAACTCCAAACCGACTTCACCAAAGGGGCAGAAAGGGGCTGGTTCTTGCCTACCCTAAAGCCTAAACCCCAAACTCTACTAGATTCGTATATGGGTAATTGTCAAAGTTAGGGTTTAAGGGTCCCTCCTTTTACCCTTGGATAGATGATACATACACTCACCAAAATTCAAAAGGAGCCCTATCTACACTCACCAAAATGGTAATATAAGCCCTACTTCATATGTGATTGGGGCCAAAAGGGCAGAGAGGAGCTCATCGTCTTGGAAGTCGGACATGGCGATGAGCCCCTGGCCGCGGGCAGTTTTAGGGGGTTTAGGGTTTAGGGTTCTGCTTGACGAGTCAGTGGACCGAGTATGCTTTGGGTGTACTATAGAGCCCTACTTGGAGGGTCTTTAGGGGACTTAGTAAGTAGGTAGTAAGTAGACTTATAAGTACCCCAAAAAGGGACCCGAATTGGGGTTATGGTACTTATAAGTCCCTAAAATAACCAGTTACTAAGTCCCCCGACCCTCCTAGTAATGTGGAAACCCGCCACAATATAGTTCAGTAAATATTTGGGCCCCCTACTTGGAGGATGATTGGACTTAGTAAGTAAGGCTATAAATAATTACTGAATTGAGTTTGTATGTAATACAACTATAGCTACCTGATCTATAAGCCTACTTACTAAGCCTCGTGATCCTCTTAGTTGGGTCTAGGGTTTCGGGCTTGTGAACTTCAGGGTTGTGAGGATCTGCAGTTTATTTGGACAATAATTACAGCTGCAAGTAAACAATGCCGTTAGTTACGTTGTCTATGATCTATAACCCTAGCTACTATAAGTCGAATGATCCTTCAAGTAACATGCGAAAATGCCGAGTCGCGCTCGATCCACGCCTTCAGAGGTCGTGGGTGTACCGAGACCCCAACTACCCTGTCTTCCACCCCGGTGGGTTTTTCAAGGCTCCATTCAAGATGATACAGGGCCGGAAATAGAATAGAAGCCCCTTACAGGTGGGTAGTTCTTCTTCCATAGTACTCCCATAAGACCCCCTTTACCTTATAGGAGTGGCTATGGGAAGCTTATGGGAAACTACCCACCTACTAACTACCCACCTGTAAATGGCTTAGAATCTAGGAGTTCTTTTGGATTAATTTCTTGACTACTATTTGCTTAAGAACACCAAAAAAATAAAAAATATATTCCTTATGGGGGTCATATAGGGATTATTTTTTTTATTTTTTGGGTGGTTTCTTAAGCAAATAGTAGTTGAGGAATCCTGAGGCCTGAGGAATCATACGGCTGAAGATGTTGGCTGCTATACAGTAGAAGCCCAAAAGTTGGAAATCCCATAGCCTCAATCCTTAAGAGTAATGTATAGGGCCTAGGGAATATTTGGCCTTAATCCGGTTTCCATTTTTGTGGGTTTACTGGAAACCCTAAACCACTAGGCCCTAATCCCTAAACCCTAAACAAGGCACCCTATACCCTTGACCCCATGAACTCCTAAAGCCTAAACCCTGTCACGCCTATATAAACCCTATAATAAGGGTTTACTGTATTCGGTTCCGGTTTTGCCGAGATCCGACTGTTTGGGAGCCTTCTCACCGCTCTTGCGGACATCGTAGACGGCCAGAGTACCGTCGCCAGATACTGCACCTTGGGATCCCGCTTTTGGGGCGAGGGCCTTGGGTTTGGGACTTGGCGTCGCGGGCTATGAGGGTGGAGGGATTTTGGGTTTAGGGGTTTAGGGTTTAGGGATTTGGGTTTAAGGGTTTGGGGTCTAGGGTTTAAGGTTTGGGGCTTGGGGGTTAAGGATTTGGGCTTAAGCTTGGGGCTTTAGGCTTACTTGGAGGGTCGGGGGACTTAGTAAGTAGGTAGTAAGTAGACTTAAAAGTACCCCAAAAAGGGACCCGAATTGGGGTTATGGTACTTATAAGTCCCTAAAATAACCAGTTACCAAGCCCCCCGACCCTCCTAGTAATGTGGAAACCCGCCACAATAGTTCAGTAAATATTTGGGCCCCCTACTTGGAGGATGATTGGACTTAGAAAGTATGGTTATAAATAACTACTGAATTGAGCTTGGGGCTTTAGGCTTAGGGTCCAGTTCCACCCATTCCGATCCTTGCGACGACCTCAGGTGAAGGCCGCGCTTCGCCGGGCCACGATAATTGAGGAATACAGCCTCGGTACTGTCCCATACAGTAATCGTCTATAATATAGTCTATAATGGGGCTAATGTTAAGGTCCTAATATATCTGTATTGTGAACATCCAACTATTGCTGAGTGGGGGGCCGCACCCAAAACATAGCCTAAATCACAATATAAAGCCCCCTGCAGTTTCAGGTAAATGGCTTAAATACGGGGTATTGGGCTCTCTGGGTAAACCTCTGAAGCCCTAAACAAAAAGCCCCTAAAGCCCCTCCCAACACTCCTAAACCCTAACACCCCCAGCGAACCCCTGAACCCCTAAACCCTAAACCCCCAAGCCCTTAAAGCCTACACCCCTACACCAAAAACCCCTATGCCTTTCTAAATCCTGGAACCCAAAGACTCTGTAGGCCAAAAGCCTGGAACAGATCCCCGAAAACTGGACTAGGATAGTCCATCTGCCCCCACCCTGTAATAGTGACTATAAGGATTATATTAGGGCAACATTCTATTTTCTTATCATACCACTATTACAGGGTGGGGGCCCCTTCTAAAGGATACTGTAGAAGCCTGAGCAACTACCAATAAAACTTGTTGCTCCGTAGGATTTTTTGAGATACTTGTACTAGAATACACGCTAACCCCAGTGTGACTACAAAGGTTCCGATGTTAAATATCGTATATGTGAGCCAATCTGGGAGTTTCCTAAAATAGGGGACCCTGATATAGTACCCCAAATAGTAGGATCCTTATCATTAGGACCCCCAACAAGGTACCGCTAATTTTCGGAAGCTCCCATCTAGGTGTGGCCGCTTAAGGTGTGGGAAGATTAGGGTCGAAGGGCTAGGGTTTAAATTTAGGGGCTTGGGACTAGGATTTAGGGTTCAGGGTCGGGTTCAGGCTTTAGGGTTTAGGGTTTGAATTTAGGCGCTTGGGATTAGGGTTTCGGGGTTTACGGATAGAGCCGACGCGACCGAGCTTAGCTTACAGACTGGGGCGCAACGACGGCTCCGTGCCCGTCTTCGAACTTCCCGACACCTTAGAGTTAATATTAGTCTTAATATTAGTATTATTAGTATCAGTATAAGTATGAGTATCTTGAATATTAGTTTTAGTATCGCTAGCATTAGTAGTATGTGTCATACTATAATACATTATAGTATTAGTATATTAGTATCGCTAGCATTAGTATGTATCATACATTATAGTATTAGTATATGAGTAATTTTCGCTAGCAGTAGTATGTATGATATACTATAGTATTAGTATTAGCATCGCTAGCATGAGCATGTATCATACATTATAGTATTAGTCTTAGTATAGACAAGGAAAAAACGCCCGGCATCCCGAGAGCCGCGCAGAGGCTGGTTCCATCCGCTCCCATGGCCAGGTCTGCAATCTGTCATGTCAAGCAGAAAAAGGGGAAAAGGAGGGACCCTTGGGGTTTTATTTGGGTTCCTTTAAAGGGATCTATATGGGGTTACTATAAGGGGTCTATAAGGGTACTATAATACTGTAGGAACCTGATTAAGGTTGGGCAAAGGGGACAAGCAGGGACCCTTAATGGGGACCCCTACCCTATAATGGGCTATATAATGGGTATATAATACTGATATTAAGGGTATATACCTAGGGGTCCTTATTAAGGGTCCCTCCTTTTACCCTTGGACAAGCGAAAGCTCGCAGGCAGGTAGGGTTTAGGGACGGTTTCGGGTTTGGGGCTTAGGGTTTAGGGTCTGCCCAAACTCCTTCTTGAAAGAATACTCGAGACCAGATGAACATGGGGCCAGCCGCCGAGAGGATCTCGATGCTCACAGCTTTAGCCGGAAGCTATGATACCCTGACACGCAACACCCCAAACCGCATAGTCACAAACCCAAAGTGTCCATGATAGTATATACATTGGCCTTAAAGTAGTCCCTATATAGGTACTTTGGGCCCGAAGTATATACTACTTGGATACATGGACCCCTAGGGAAACCCCAAGCTCCCTGTTTTTGGCCCACACCTGGACCAGATCTTTCCTAGTTGGGAAAACAATTTCCACCCGAAGCAAACCTTGAATCCCCTAATCTAGCACCCAACTAGTAGGATCCTTATTACAAGGACCTCAAAACAAGGTACCCCTAGTTTTCGGACCCCGCTAGAAGCCAAAAAGGGAAGCGTGGTTTCGCCCCCCCGGAGATGCTCCGGTGTGTCTTGAGTGGAGCTTAGCCTGTCTTCCGTAACTTCATAGAAGTTTCCGAAAATTATGGGTACCTTATCTTGGGATCCTTGTAATAAGCATCCTACTACTTAGGGTACTGTTTTAGGGTCCCCTATTTTCGGAAACTCCCACATAGGAGTTTCCTACGGGAGATCGCTGCTGGAAGCTTTAGCATGGTGACAGGGCGGTTGCTTGGATGAAACATGGGAGTTTCCGAAATTAGGGGACCCTAATGGAGGACCCTAAATAGTAGGATCCTCTAAAGAAGGTACCCCTAATTTTCGGAAACTCCCAAATGGACCGAAGAAGACGAAGCAGAAATATGGAGTCATGCAGGGCCCGGATCCATTGCCTCGAATCGGTATGTGAATCAAACATCGTATCGTCGGGTGACATCTGAACCCCGGTTTAGGGTTTAGGGGTTTAGGGTTTAGCGACTCCCAAAATTGGCTGGAATTCAAAGCTCCGCATTTGCACGCATGTTGCCGGCCTCTAAATGCTTGCGCGGGTCTTGGTCTGTTCTCAAGCTAGCTCCGCCTGCAAAGTCACAGGCATTGAGACCTTCTAAACAGGCTTCAGCTGATCCTGCACAGCACTACAGTCACCGCCGCAGTCAGAAGAGCCACAGGTGGCGACCGATCCACCGCCTAGAATGGCAGCAAAAGCACATTCAGATGCTTGGATCTGCTGCACAGTCTTCAGCTGATCCTGCACAGCGCTACTGATACCCTGACCCCAGGTGACGACAGATCCATCACCAAGAATGGCAGCAAACGCGTCGTCAGAGGCTTGGATCTGCTGCACATTTTTCAGTTGGTCCTGCACTGCACTACTGTCGCCACCTTCAAGAGCATGACCCCATGTGACGACCGATCCGTCGCCGAGAACGGCGGCAAAAGCACGCTTAGAGGCCTGGATCTGCTGCACATTTTTCAGCTGATCCTGCACGGCATTGCTGTCACCACCGTACTGATCAGAACCCCAGGTCACGACCGATCCATCGCCAAGAATGGCAGCAAAAGCACAGGCGGATGCTTGGATCTGCTGCACATTCTTCAGCTGATGATGCACAGCACTGCTGTTACCACCGGCCTGATCAGCACCCCAGGTTACAACGGATCCGTCGCAAAGAATGGCAGCAAAAGCACGCTCAGAGGCCTGGATCTGCTGCACATTCTTCAACTGATCCCGCACAGAACTACTGTCGCCGCCGCAAAGATCAGCACCCCAGGTGACGACCGATCCGTCGCCAAGAATGGCAGCAAAAGCATGCTTAGCGGCCTGGATCTGCTGCACAGTCTTCAGCTGATCCTGCACAGTGCTACTGTAACCGCCACGGTGAGGATGACCCCAGGTGACGACAGACCCATCACCAAGTACGGCAGCGAAAGCGCTGCCAGAAGCTTGGATCTGCTGCACCTCCTTCAGTTGGCCCCGCACAGCCCTACTGTTGCCACCAAAGTCTACATGACCCCAGGTCACGACAGAGCCATCGCGAAGAATGGCAGCAAATGCATTGTCAGAGGCTTGGATCTGCTGCACATTTTTCAGTTGGTCCTGCACTGCACTACTGCCGCCACCAAACACAGTGTGACCCCAGGTGACGACCGATCCGTCGCCAAGAATGGCAGCAAAAGCATTGTCAGAGGCTTGGATCTGCTGCACATCAATCAATTGGTCCTGCACTGCACGACTGTCGCCACCATAATGCGTAGAACCCCAGCTAACGACTGACCCATCGCCAAGAAGGGCAGCAAAAGCTCCACGACTAGCTTGAACTTCAACTCTGTTTATATGCAAGGTGAGAGAATCACCATCTTGCAGCCTGGCATGCTTTACCGTGGAACGTGCATCCAGAAGGCTTCCAGATGAGCCCACGAGCCGCCCTCTTCCAACTCCGAGGGCGGTCTCTGCCCGACGCTTCAGCGTTGCCACTTCTTCATGGAAGTCTGCTTTCACAGTGGCTGTCTTGCCGCTAAGCAGCCCAACTTCCAAGCTAATCGACATGAAGCCGAAGTTCGAAGCCTTGCTGGGAATGCTAAACCAAGTCTGGCTGGCAACACCTGGTATGCACCGATCGCTACACCCTACACTCCCCGAATATGTAGACTAGGGCTTTGTGGCCCATTATACTATAATTATAAAATGAGGAACCCCCCCAAAATGCACCGATCACTGCACCCTAGACTCCGAACCTTGTGTCTGTAGCCTCCCGGCCTCAACTGGATTTTAGGGTTGGGAGTTGAACACACATAATATGAGGGCCTTAACAGTTAGAATAGGGCTTTGGGGCCCATGATACTATAAATATACTAAGGAACCCCCAAAATAGGATTGGTAGCTTATGAAGGCCCCTATACTGAACCCCCCCCCCCCATGATAGTCCTTATAGTAACACTTATAGGACCCTATTCTTCAGGCCCTGGCAAGAGTTTAGGCCCCTATATTACACATGTCTCTGTTCGGACCGAAGTTCGGACCGAAGGGCAGCGTTTGCGCCGGAAGGTTTAAGGGTTTCGGGTTTAGGGGTTTAGGGTTTTAGGGGTTTCGGGTTTAGGCTTTAGGGTTTAGGGGTTTAGGGTTTTAGGGGTTTAGGGTTTAGGATTTAGGGTTTAAGGGTTTAGGGTTTAGGGTTTTAGGGGTTTAGGGGTTTAGGGTTCAGGGGTTCAGGGGTTTCGGGGGTTTAGGGGGTTAGGGTTCAGGGGTTTAGCGGCTTCGGGGGTTTGGGGGGTTTAGGGGTTTCGGGGTTTAGGGGTTTAGGGCTTAGGGTTTAGGACACAGGCGCAACCACAAAGCTGTTCCCACCTACCCTAAACCCCTACAGCCTGAACCCCTACCTAAACCTCCCAACTAATGTCTTATATACCCCAAACACCCACTATTGAGGGTACTGGTAATACCTACTGCAGAACCTGATTAAGAAACCTTGGGCCTGTATTAGGGTTCCTGATATGAACCCCACTATTTTGGGGTGATAGGCCAAGGGTTTCTTAATCAGGTTCCTACAAAAATTTTGGTCATGATACATTCATGTGACCTAACCTCGGTTTCCATCATCGGCTCGGAGCCCCGTTCAACTCGCGACCACAGAGGCAACATGAACACAAGGATCTCACAACCAAGATTTTCAGAAGTCAGAACTCCTTCATGTCGGGACGTTTTCTAAATGTCGCCCGCAAACGTGTGTTTCTTATGCTCATTTGCTTGGTGTGGTCCCAATCTCCGCCGTCACCACACCCAATTCCAGCCCGAATGCCATGGGAGCCACTGAACTTACCTTTGGTTAGTAGGGAATGGAAGAATGGTAGTAATAGCAGATATAAGTGTACCCCATTCCTCCATTCCCTATAAAACAGGTAAGTCAAAAGCTAAAGTTGTGCAGTTAGCAAAGACGGCCGGGCGGGCAAAGTCATCGTTCTCACTCCAACCTTGGCTTTCTTGAGGGTTTCGGACCCTAAACCAGGTACATTGTGCTCTAGTATACTACATGATGCAACACTGTAGCAACTGAGTGAAAATTATACTATATTATCCTATATTGTGCTGTAATATGTTATATCGTAGTGCATTGTGTCGGAGGTTTTCGTTGTAATCAAGATACATTCTTGTAGGCTATAGTATAACAGCGTATATCCTACTATGTTGTAGTACAGTGTTGCTATCATCACTTTGTAGACTTTGCCAGTTGCTCTATGAGCAATACAAGTGAAGCCAATGTGCGGGTGTACCACAGCCCCAACCATGGAACACAAGCCGAAGATAGCTTACTGATTAGAACAAGGTTCCTTCAAGAATGCCTCTTAAGCCTTATTGTCCAGAAGGGCTTTAGGGTATGCGGTGACATAAGTATGATAAGGAAGCTTTGGAGGTAGACCCGAACACTTCAAACGGAAGTGCTAATACACTACCTCTAAGCATTCACAGCAGTAGCTACTGCCGCTAGATAAAAAAGACTTCGAATTGCTGCGGACACTATCGTCGATGTACGAACGCAATCCTGGTTGCAAAGCTTGACGTTCCTGTGTTGACGAATGCAGCTTCTGCCGCTGCTGCTTCTGCTGCTGCCGCTGCTGCTGCTGCTGCCGCCGCTGCTGCTGCTGCTGCAGGTGACGATGATGATGATGATGACCCAAATCCTAAGCCGTACGCTCTAAACCCCTGACGTTGGTGATGGTCATGGTATGCTGGAGATGATGCAGTGCTGGTGTGGGTCACAGTGCTGGAGCTGGCACTTGGTGCTAGCTGTGAGGCTGATGCCGATTTAGGGTTTAGAGTTGAGGGTTCAGGGTTCAGGATTTAGGGTTTAGAGTTTAGGGTTAATTTTTTGGGATTTAACGTTTCTTTAAGGTTCCCGAAAACTTACAACAAGACCTAGTGCACTAGACCCATACTCGGTACTCGGTCTTGCGAAAAACGAACTCAAGATGGCGATGTCAAGACCTAAAAATGTTATCATACAATAGAAAAAGATACGAAGGAGAAGAAGCTAGTATTCACTGTTCGCGTTCTAGTATAACATCATCCTACACCCTACACCCTAAAGCCTAAACCCCAACCCTAAACCCTAACTAACCCTAAACCCCTAAACCCTTAACCCCTAAACCCTAAACCCCTAAACCCCTAAACCCCTAAACCCTAAACCCCTAAACCCTAAACCCCTGGTGAGGTCGGAACTCACGGCTGCCTTTGCTGCTCGTCCATCGAAGATCCGAAGGCCACCGTTGTCGTCACCTCGGTCCCGGCATCTTGATCTCGAAGGCTCACGTGGGGCTTCGGGCTTAGGCTTAGGGGGTTTAGGGGGTTGAGGGTTGAGGGTAAAGGGAGGTTTAGGGGTTTAGGGCTGTAGTGGGTTTAGGGGGTTTAGGGGGTTGAGGGTTTCGGGGGCTTAGGCTTAGTGTTACTATGGGTAAGGTCTTTGGGTGTCTAACTTGGAGGGTCGGGGTACTTAGTAAGTAAGGTTCCTCAAGAAGGGCTCCCTTTATCAGGGTTCCTCAAAGGGCTCTATCGGGCTTAATCTATTTTAGAGACTGAAAGGTATCCACACCTAAATTCGGGATCTGTTTGGAGGGTCGGGGGACCTAGTAAGTGGCGATGTTAGGGGCTGAAAAGTATCAACAGCCAAGTTACGATCCCTTTCAGGGAACTGGGGGTCTCCACTTCCCAAGACGAGACGATGCGGCTTTGGGGTTTGGGGCTTGGAGCTTACGGTTTGGGGTTTCTAGCTTAAGGCTCAGGGGTCCTCAAAAAAGTGGAAAAGGCCTTGGATCAAACTGTCATGAACCTTCAGACAAGTTTTTGCGGACTCAAAGGAGATCTATTTCCTGATGCTGGGTTCTTGTTAGGGGACTTAATGTAAGTTACCATGATGAAGAAACCCATACTATGTACTATAAATCCCTACTACGGTAACATATGCTAAATTCCTTAACAAGAACCCAGGATGTTTCGACCTCCATCTTCTATACCCCCCTTAGAACCATAATAAAAACACTATATTTAATATTCTCTTGGGATTTATATGAACAAAGATACAAAATAATTCCGAAGGGGACTATAGTGTTGGAGCTTGGGAACCTGCCAGTCTGGAGGCTCAGCGAAAAGCTCGAAGCTAGCGACTTCTCTTACCAAGCCATCGATCCTTTGCCTAATTGTCGGATATCATGGGAACTAAAGGTTAACCTTTTGGGTTATGTGGGGGATTATATAGGGACTATACTACCCAAAAAAGGTTAAAGGTTACCTACTTTGCTACTCGGAAAGCCTCAATTGGCAGACCAACTGCAAGCCCTCAACTCTAAAGCCTCACGGAAGCTGTTGCCCAGAGAGCCCAATACCCCTTAATTAAGCAATATACCTGAAATTGAAATTATACGGGGCTTCATATTATGATTTAAGTTGTATTCCTTAATTAAGGGGTATCAGGCTCTCTGGGTACTCGGGATCCCGGCCCACTGCGAATCGTTCTTTGCCGGCCAACACCAGGACGGACTCAGTGCTCGGGGCTGTGAAACAAGGGAGTCGCTATCGAAACCAGGTTGCTTTAAGGGCTCCATCAGGGTAGTGTAGGCGCCTTTACAATTAGAACACAGTTTTGGGACAAGTTTTGGGGTATGTTATACTATATGTCTACGAAGGCATCCTACGGTCCTAAGGAATCATGCGAGTGGCTATTCAGGCTGCGGTATAGAGCCATATGAAAGCCGTATAAAGCCCGATGAAACCCTGCAAGGCCTTCTGGATCCTTTTAAGGGTTACTTTAACGGGTTCCTTAAAGGGATCTGTAAGGGTTCTATAAATATAAAGGGTTTTAGGGTTTAGAGTTTCCGAAAATCAGGGGTACCTCATTTTCTTACAATAAGGACCCTACTATTTTTGGTACTACTATTAGGGTCCCCTATGTTCGCAAACTCCCATACAGGCTTTGTCCGATGTCTGGAAATCTCTGAGTTTTAATCATAGTTGCTGAGTTCATAAGCCCCAAATAGTGTACACTTTCAGTTTTATAGTGTGTAATATTATCCCAAAACATGTAAAGTGTATCCACTCAGCTACTAAGAATCCATGGTCGTTTTGAAAGAGGATCCCATGAGGATCCGGAAAATATCAGGTATTGTACTATGAAAGCCTCGCTGCTTACAATAAGGTGTTGGGGAGTAGGGCAGTAATACAAACTGTGAAATAACAGTGAGGAATATTCGAGGGGTTCTTCAAGCCAATTTCAATCTCCACCCTGAACGCTGAACCCTAAACCCCAAACCCTAAACCCCAGCTTGCCGGACAACGCCCGCCCCCCCCACTGCAGAAGCCTGAATAATTACGAATATTGGGGTGCCTGGTTTTTGTTGCGCTTATAAAGAAGCCCCAGCGAGCTGAGACTCTCGCATAGCCGGCAGCCTTCAATTTGCAACGCCAGACCTGCCATTGGCGAAACAAAGGTGGCTTTAGTAGGGAGACGAAGGTTCGTTTTCAAACCGCGGTTTAGGGTTTACCTTAACCCTGAATAACCTACCTTTTTAAGGCTCCGTATTATGATTTCCTTATATAAAGCCTTGAAAAGGTAGGACATTCCGGGTTAAGGTAGGGTTTATGAAAGATACTCTGAGGGATCTGCGAAGCCTTGAAGGCGAGAAAGGCCATATGAACTGGAATAGGATTAGGGTTTAGGGTTTAGGGTTTAGGGTTTAGGGTTTAGGGTTTAGGGTAGTGTAACGGACCAGGTCAGGCCTAAGCCCCTATCGAAACCCTAAAGCCCTTACTGCCTAAGTCCCATGATCCTCCAAGTAGCCGGTCGGGTTGGAGGCCCAGAGAGCCCAATACCCCTTGAGGAATATGGGAGTTTCCGAAAATAGGGGTACCTTATTTTGGGACCCTAATAATAAGGATCCTACTATTTAGGGTACTGTATTAGGGTCCCCTATTTCCGGAAAGTCCCATATAGCTTACAACATAAAGATGAAGCCCCTTATGATTCAAGGCATATTGCTTAATTCAGGACTATTGGGATCTCTGGGTTGCTAAAACGGGATTTACCCCGACCTTACTACCCCCGGGTCCCCGATTGAAGAAACTAAATTAGCGGCGACTTGCGCGTCTAAAACCCCCATAGACTCCCAACAAAACAACTACAGAGAACCAAAGTAACCAACACAAAACCCGAATCGGCGACCCCAAGAAAAAATAATGAAAAGAAAAAAGGCATGCAAATGCAGTAAGGGAAAATGGCAAACGGCCAAGGCCCCGCAGAAAAAAACCGATACCGGTATGTTAGATAGGATGCAACAAGGTGGACAGATGGATAATACCCTAAGGTTAGACAACACTACATAGCTAGCTACATACATACACAAACACCCCGTACACAGGCCTACTTACGAGGCGGGTTCTGGAAAAATTGAGCCTTGGCCTTTGCCTCGGCTTTGGCTTTGGCGGTCGCCTTAGGCGCAGCACGCCGGATTTGCCGGAAAATGTAGTTGCGAGGCAACGGAAAATCGCAGCGATCACTTCTCTGAGCGTAGCCTGGCGGCAGACAGGAAGAAAACAACCGAGATTCCCCCAAACGCCCAAAATAATTACTAGACACCAAAACCTTACATCCCCGAGCCCTAAATCCTTAAACGGCAGACAATAAAGTACTAAGCCGAAAACAATCCTAAGCCCTGCAAGCCCAAGCGCTGAAACCCCGAACCCTAAAACCCGAGACCCGGACCCTAAGCCCCCGCACCCAAAGCCCTGGCACCAAAACCACTAAACCCAAAGACCCCAAGCACAAAAAAACTAAAGCCCTGAACCCCATAGCCCCTAAACCCAGAAATCCTACGAAGCCGAAACATGTAAAACCTTAAACCCCGCGAACCACAATCCCCTAACACACAGAACACCCAAAGGCCTCGTGCCCGGTTGGCTAAGCAACGCGGGCATTCGCCGCAGGGCAGGCGCTGAACGTTGTAGGCGTTCCTGTTCCAAGGGGGGAGGGGGGGGGGAGGCGGAAGACGAGACACGAGCAAAGGCCAAACGGCACAACCACAGCAGAACTAACGACCTAAACCGAAGCCCAAGACACCAACAAGCCAAACCCTCGCCTTGGCCCAATTGGTCGCGGAAAGGGCCGATTCGGCCGGCGACGCTTGGTAGGGCTCTCATCCCCGCCGCCGGGATGAATCATAACCTCGGTTCACGCATGCAAGCAAGCGAAGCCCCCCAAAGCATAACTACGAACCACAACAAACCCGAACCAAGGAGCCGGAGCGTCGCTGCTACCAGAGGCGACCTCCTTACAGCCACAAAGCATGCGGAACAAGAAGTACAACGCAAAACAGGGGAGAACACAAAACCAGCCAAGCTACGACGGCCAAACCCGGAACCGCCATGACCTCGATTCACGCATGCAAACAAGCGAAGCACCCCAAAGCATAACTAGGAACCACAACAAACCCGAACCAAGGAGCCGGGGCGTCCGTGCTGCTCGAGGCGAGCTCCTTATAGCCACAAGGCACGCGGAACAAGAAGCACAACGCAAAACAAGAAGGAACAAGAAACCAGCCAAGCTACGACGGGCACGGGAGGCTCCGCCGGAAAGTGCTCTAGCGAGGCCTCGAAAGCAACACGCCAAGCAAACCCAAGAAGAAGCAAGAAACAGCAAAACAAGCAATGCGACCAGGTTGCAGCCACGTCCGCGTCGTGGCGGGTCGCCTCGCAACCGAAAACAAAACCCCAAGCCCGAGACCTTAAACTCTAAACCTGAAACCCAGACACCCTAAACCCCAGCCCTAGAACCCGGAAACCCTAAACCCAAACACCGAAACCCCCAAACCGTAAACCCGAAAACCCTAAACCCTAACCCCAAATCCCGACAGGCCGAAGTCGCCCCCCGTCCACAAGCCCAACTGGAACACTAAGCCGCCCACATCGTTTTCCGGGAAATCCTCGAAGAGATCCGGGAACTCCTCCAGATGCAATGCCCACCACCACAGATTATGTAGAAACGAAAACCCGAAACCCCGAAAGCACAGCCACAGCCCGTCACAAGTAAAACCAAGGAACCGCGACGTCCCAGTCGTAAACCTCCGGCCTCCGATTCCTCCTCCTCGTCCCAGGCTGCCTCGATTTGCGTACCAACGAAACCCGAAGCCCCGAAAGCACGCCCGCAAACCACAACAGCCTAAACCAAGGAACTCCGGCCGCGACCTCGCCGTCGAGGTGCCTAGCGCAATAGGAGGCGAGGGTAGAGAAGGGGACAAAGGGAAGCAGACGAGTAGAGCTCTGCCAGAACGTAGGGGGCTGACTCCCAAGGGACTAGAGGTCGATCGGAATCCGACGACCATAACAGGGATCTATGGGAAATACTATAGAGTTTCTTTATTCTGGTATCTTAGAGCAATCAAATTCTTTACAAGAATGCAGAACCTGACATGAAGACCCTTTAAAGGAACCCTTCCAGTACCCTTATACGGTATCTTAAAGCAAGTGTATTGGGCTCTCTGGGGGGACCTAGGAGGGTCGGGGGACTTAGTAACTGGTAATTTTTAGGGACTCATAAGTACCATAACCCCAATTAGTGTCCCTTTTAGGGTACTTATAAGTCTACTTACTACCTCCTTACTAGGTCCCCCGACCCTCCAAGTAGGGGAGGTGCATTTTTAGGGACTCATAAGTACTTTTAGGGTACTTATACAAGTCTGCTTACTACCTACTTACTGCGTCGGCCTTCAGGAAGCCCTCCAGTTTCCAGGGAACCCTGGGTTTGGGGCTTTTGGGGCTTTGGGGCTTTAGGGGTCATAGGGGTTTAGGGCTTTAGAGGTTTAGGGCTTAGGGGGCTTAGGGTTCAGGGTTTAGGATAGGGGTTTAAAGGGTTTTGGGGTTTAGGGTGGGCTTTGGGGCTTTGGGGGTTTAGGGGTTTAGCGCTTTGGGGGTCTAGGGTTTAGGGTTTACGGATTCGGGGTTAGGGTTATAAGTATCCTGTACCCTAAAACTTTTCTCAACTCATGTAAAGCTGTTCGGAAAGCTTTTACATTGAACAACACGATGGAGACTCAACAAATCTTACATAACCCTGATACGCCCATAAAACCCTCAAACACCTGACATAATTTTTGCTCGGGGCGACACAGATTAAGGCTGATTGACTGGGTTCTTGTTCAGGAGTTATTGTAAGTTACCAGAATAGGGACCTACAGTAACTAACATGGTTTCCTTTTTGTTGCAACTTCAATTAAACGCCTTAAGCCAATATGGTTTTTCCTCATTTTGGTAACTTCAAACAAAACCCCTTAACAAGAGCCCAGTTAAGGTCTGTAGCCCGTCCAATACCAGCCGCAGGCGGCGCAGGCGCCCGTTTCCACGTCGCTGAGCACCGCAAACTTGTCTGCCGAAGTCGATGCCTTTAAGGGATCCTTAAAAGTTCCATTAAGGGATCTATTAATTATAAGGGATCCTTAAGGGTTCCTTCAAGGGATCTATAAGGGATCTATAGGGTTCAGGGTTTAGGGACGCCTTGAAATCTACGTACCGGCCTTTCGCATTGAAGGATTTGAGAGCTGAAGGGCTCAAGAGCTCAATGCCTTTCCAGCTTCGGGCAATATAGAAGTGGGGCTACTTCGACATCCTCTTCTACTCCTCCAATATGCCAGAAAGCACTTACAGGAACCCTAAACCCTAAACTGAGTACAGCTGCCTTACTTAAACCCTGAAAAGCAAGGGCATGCAAGGGCCTTTCTAAGAAATGCACAGGATAATGTCATGTCCGAAAACAACGAAACAAGGTTTTGGTGTATAGTGTAGTAGAGCTTGTATATGATACGGAGCCCTAAGGGTTAGTACTTCCAACTATCCACGATTACGTACTAGGTCCTTGGACAGTCTGACGCTGAGCCCCTTAAGAGGGGTGTTATGGGGCTCATATCGGATGTTATAAGGGCTTACCCCTAGGCCCCATAGTAGTTCCTTTTTGGGATTACCTTATATACGAACCCCAAAAAAGAACTACTTTGGGGCCTTTGGGGAACCGGAGTTTCATAAGCGCTGAACGAGGCCTAGTAAGAACCTGAGCAACCCTTGGTCCGGGAACCCCGGCTAAAAGGTGCGTAGATGACGACCTCAGCGCCATGCCATTTCACTTGAATTTCAGATTTGGGAGCAGTGTCTCTTCTTGGTCTTTGGTCGAAACTAAACCCTTTTGCTGCAGGCTTCCTTGCAAGGACGCCTGGTAGTACTAAACCCCCAACCCTAAACTGCCCTAAACCCCAAACCCTAAACCCTAAACCGCTGAAAGCAAAAGATGCGAAAAATGCGGCCGCTTCGGGGATCAAGGCTAGAGCCCCGAAATCTGAACTCGGCAAGTATCTTAATGTAGGGGCCTTAATTAGGGTTTAAGGTTTAGAGTTTAGGGATAGTTATAATAGGGTTTTGGGGCTTCCTTAGTATCTTAGTGTAGTAGGAACCGGAATGTTTAACCTTTGATTTCTGTAGCTTTTTGGGGAAGTAAGTTACAGGGTTTCAGAGCCTCCAAAACCCCTTAATTAAGGAGTATACCTTAAACTATATTTGGGATCCTATTATAATTGAAGGTATATTCCTTGACTAAGGGGTTTTGGAGGCTTTGGGTAGGGGCCTTAATAGTTATAATAGGGTTTTGGGGCTTCCATAGTATCTGCATAGTATAAAATACCACCAAACCCTCTTCTAATTATTGAGGCCCCTATATTACATGGCTTGCGGGGTCAGAAGGATGCACGGGAAGCGAACCAGAGTATCTCTGCACCGCTGCTGTCCTGAAACACCGCAGATCACCATCAGCCCTCTTTGCATATGTAAACTAATCTAGGGGCCTGAATCATTAATTTCCAATACTCTCGTGGTTCCTTCTTACAGCTCTAGTATAATGGGCCCCAAAACCCTGCTCTGATTATTAAGTGCCCTAGATTACAAGGCGCTTGATGTTCGCGACATTCCGCTGCGAAACAGACAATCAGGTTCGACTTGGGGCGAATCCTTCTGCTAGAAACTGGGGCTCGTGCACAAACTTGGCAGTTCGACAGGACTTCTTGTGGCCTCGCACATGCCACGGTGTATGAGCACAGCCTGAAACCCCTAGACCCTTAAACCCTAAACATTCTACCTAGACCCTAAACCCAAAGCCCTAAACCCTAAGCGCCGACTTCAGTGAATTTCCTCTTGGGAGCTCCCTTCCGATCGAGCTACGGCGCAAAGGAAAAAGCCAGTTTCGGCTGCCTCAACTCTTCGCGTAACTCTTTAAGAGCCACTAGAAGGGTTGCTACAAGGGTTTGAGGTGGGGGCCGTGATAATTTCAAGAGTGTTTTGGGTTATCTGCTAGTTTCATTACAGTAAGGAACAACGTTGGTAATGATTTAGACCCCCATATCGCACAGATACGGGACAGGACGAGGCGGATCGGGCGTCAAGGTCTCTTGGCTGACGCCATCTCAGGCTCCCCTCCGAACCCCTCTACTCTCGAGCAAACCCTACAAGCAGGTACGGACTCTAACAGTACGTGGTACAACTGAACAGTAGCAGAGAGTGGCAATCATCCATAACGTGCTGCTCGGGCATGTAAGGCGCTTACACAGGGGTCTTGTGAAGCAGGGATAGAATGTACAGAACAGTATGGAACCCTGTTCTATGTATAAACGCTCCTCTATCACTGATCACTAATCCTCTTCGTTGACACCTCAGGAATCCCCCTTTGGGTCGAGGCTTTCAATTAGCCGCACTCGCTCCGCAGTGCCTGGGCAGGTCCGGGGTTCCGGGCTTAGGAATTGAAAGTTTAGCGTTGGGATTCTAGGCTCTGGAGTTTTGGGTTTAGGGTTTAGGGGTTTAGAGGTTTAGGGGTTTAGAGTTTAGGGGTTTAGAGGTTTAGGGGTTGAGAGTTTAGGGGTTTAGAGGTTTAGGGGTTTAGAGTTTAGGGGTTTAGAGGTTTAGGGGTTTAGAGTTTAGGGTTGGGATTCTAGGCTCCGCATTTGGGACAGGCGACAACAAAGGCTCTTGTGCTGTGAATGTGCTCGGAAACCCAACGGAAAACATTGCAAACTCTGCAGGCCTATCTAGGTTCCTGAGTAGCTCCTTAACAACAAGGGGCTGGTGTTAACAAGGGAACCCATAAAGAAAAAGGGCAAGAGGGTACTACTCAGGAACCTCACCATTTGAATCGTCCAATCTCCAAAACCCAAGACTCTGGAGGTGTGGATGCCTCTCACTATGAATATTCAATCGCGATCATGTGTCTTTGACCATGTGACCATAATCAACTTAAGGTTGAGGACTACGGAGTTCAACCCTAAACCCTTAAAGCTCTTTTCTGCTGAGGGGTTCGGTCCAACTGGACTCAGAAGCCTTGAGCTTGCTGAAACCGGGTTGGGGGTTCTGATGGGCTCTGGGTTTAGGCTGAGGACGAGATCGCGGATGCAAGGTCTGGGTAGTTTCCTAAATAATAGGTGCCGTCATATGGGGATTCAACAAGGGACCATAATTTTGCAACCACCCATCTGCGACTCTGAGGAGCCAAATGGGAGTTACTGAAAATTCGGGGTACCTAATTTTGGGGGTCCTTATAATACGGATCCTACTATTTAGGGTACTATGTTAGGGTCCCCTATTTTCGGAAACTCCCAAATTCAAGCCTTGCACTAACCATGCTCGCTCGGGGTGGGTGCTTCCAGAATGTTTTATGCTCGCTCGTTTGTCTGCGCCGGCTGCTTGTTTGCATGAGGCGTGCTGCGCAAGCGAGCGAGCACGCAATTATGTTAGAAGCACGCACCTCGAGCGAGCATGCGTTGGATTTTTATGGAATCTAACCCAAATCCTAAACACCTCTTCAGCGAGTCTGAAGCCTCAAAAACGCGTCGTTTTTGCATGCTCGCTCGGGGAGGGTGCTTCTAACAGTTTTGGGTGCTCGCTGTCGCGTGTGCGCTGCTCCGGCGTGCACGTCGGAGCGAGCTCCACAATCGAGCGAGCACGCAGTTGTGTAGGAAGCACGCAACTCGAGCGAGCATGGCTAGCGAAAGCCTTGACAAATGAACATTCGTGTGTACGCCGACTACACCCACAAACTCCTTGCGCAACCAGAAAAACCCTGAAACCTGCAATTCTACCCAATTGATTAAGATGTAAGCCGCCTCTTACCCGCCCCGCCTCAAAAAGAATCAACCTACTTGTCGGGTATCATGGGGAACTAAAGGTTAACCTTTTCTGTTATATAGGGGACTATATAGGGACTATACTCCCCAAAAAAGGTTAAAGATTACCTTCTCTACTACTCGGCTGTTTATAGTAACCCACCCTTATAGATGCCTTTGTAGTGCACCTAATAAAACCTCAGAGTAACCCTGACTGATAGTAACCCTACAGTAGAAGGCAGAAAGTTGGAATATCATTATCGTAACCCCGTTAAGCTAAATTATAGGGGATCCTACCATTAATCCATATTCCAACTTTCTGGAGTTCCCTCCTAAACCCTATAAACCCTAAACCCTGAACCCTAAACCCTAAACCCTAAACCCTGAACCCTAAACCCTAAACCCTGAACCCTAAACCCTAAACCCTAACCATATTATGAACCCTGAGATCCTGGTCAACAATCGCAAAGCTGACGAAGGACTGAGCATCGAGCTGGCCTCCAAATCGAAGCGATGCAACTCCACCTCTGCTGCGAGAGCGCTGTGAGATGAGGGGCCCCACAAGGGGTCTCTATCATATGGGAGCTTCCGAAAATTAGGGGGTACCTTATCTTGGGGTCCTTATAATAAGGATCCTACTATTTAGTGTAATTACTCGATTAGGGTCCCCTATTTTCGGAAGCCCCCATATCAGGGCTCCATAGAGCTTACGAAGCTCTTGCGTAGACAGGAATCTTCTTGACTCGGACACTGGAGGCGAGCGGTGGCTAAATTAGGGAATATATACTTGAATTAGGGACCCCCAATATATGATTTAAGGTATATTTCATAATTAAGGGATATTGGGGTGAAGAGTGCGCATGGACGTAGGGGGTCGCCCGTTTGGGACGCCAGTGGGGCTTGAAATTCTCATCTGATGTCCTCAGTTCGTGTTTCAATCTCCCGTGTCTACTGCCTTTGAGGGTTGCGCTCTAAGAAGCGTTTGAATCTCAAGGACGTCGTCCCCTAAAGTTCTCACGAACTGCAGACTCACGTGTTGCTCATGCTCACTGCCGAACCTCAAACTTGAATTGCTTTTGAGTGTCTGGTTCTTCGTAGGGAAGGGGGGATGGATTGGGGATTATATAGGGGCTACTACAGGGATCCCCAATACTTTGTCGTCCAGGCTTCGAATATCTTTCTTGGGAAAGGGATACCTTCCATCCATGGTGCTGCTGGGATATCCTAGCGCGGCTGGAACCCTGCACCCAAAGCCCAGAAAGCACCAGACCAATCAGGAACAAAGAACGGTCCACATTTCGCATCACTGCTGCGGAGGGATGTCTGTGGCAAACTGGCACGTGGACGGACTGCACGTGGAGATTCATGGGACATGGTAACTATAATGTTTGTAAATAAGGTAACCCTACTGATAATTGGTTTTGACCCCAGTTAAAGTACTTGTTCCTGTATTTTCCTGAGTCCCATGATCCTCCAAGCAAATCCATCGGGTGCTCATCTGCCTCGCCTCAGGGTTTAGTGTCGGCAAGCCCGTGAAACCCTACTTAGAGGATCATGGGACTTAGTAAGTAGTTTATAATTGGGGTTATAAGTCCCCTAAGTGGGGTTATCCTACTTATATCCTACTTATAACCTTACTTACTAAGTCCCATGACCCTCTAAGTAGCTCAGTGCCATGAGAACAAGACTTGCACATGCCATCATCTCAAAATGAACTGCAAAGACATCGCTCCTGCTACAGTCTCGGCGAAACTCGAATTATGCAATCCTGCTCAAGAGAGGAGCCATCAGAGCTATCAGTGCTGGTGTCATGTTCAGAAAGTGGCAACCGGCTATATTCGGTCTTATGAGCTTGCTCAAGTAGTCTTTGTCTCTCTATCTGGGCAAAGTTCTGGGCAGATGCGTATGTGAAGACCAGCAGCGGAATCCCGTGCGATGCCCAAGTCCAGCTGTCACTTGGGACATCTATCGGCGGGCTCCAGAATGCGGCGCAGATGCACCCCCAGCTGAATAAAATGACGACAGTCCAAGCCAGAACCGCCAAAAGAGCGGACAGAACGGGCAGCAACAACAAACAGCAAGGCAAGGAAGCTCGTTCTGCCTTGATCTATCTTTGACTACCTGAAATGGATACGCATAGACATAGGCGATGACCATGGCAGGTGCTGCAAGCGTTGCCGCGAGTGTTGCAAGCTTGACCGCACCGAAGACATCTGCTCCCCACTCCTGCATCAAGGCCACTCCTACTAGCCTCCGGAACAACGGGCCGCTCGAGACCGTGGCCAGGACGCAATTCACCGCAAAGGTCCAAATCCATCTTCGGAGAAATCCGAGTGTTGTCCACATACGGCACTGCGACAGGACGCTAAGTGCGAGGGTATTTGAAATATTTTCGGGAGCTGCACATCGAGGCTGAGCAGCATGCGGGCAGTCAGGATCTCCAGAAAAACCTACTGCCAACAAAGAGCCGGCTGGGTTCGATGGGATCACGGCACTCGCTATTCTGAACGGCACATCGTACATAACCGCGTAAAGATAGTCTCCCACAATTTGGGAACGATACAAACTCTGAAGCTTGGCTTCAGTTGTATACAGCAGGAGGAACGGTGTAAAGAGAATGACAAGAGCACTGGCATCTTTAAGTTGATAGTAGCATGCCAACCCTTCCTTTGCCCTTTCAGCAGATGTTGAGATGAATATCTGCACGGCACCAGATGCCCACAGAAAGATGGATACGCATGCAAGAGCTTGAAATATCCAGGAGGCCCACCCAAGTCTGATGGTCACACTCTCGTCCAGTCCATACAACAATGCCCAGTCGTGAATAATTTTGAGGCCTGTCCACAGCAAAATACAACATATGTAAACCATCCTTGAGTAGCCTTCCTGCAGGTGATTTTGAATTTCATCCCGGGTGGATTGCATGTCGCAGTATTCCGAGGTTGCGTGCTTGTTGCTCGGGAATTCGCCCTGGCCTGTGGATAAAGCTAAGGAGCTGATCACTGAAGGAACAGCCATCTGAAGAAGCGGGGCGGCTTCGATAAAGCTAAGGTGGGCACCAACCGCTTGGAGGCCCACGCCATTCTGGACGGACACATACCTTAGCCGCCCTTAGAACCAGAATAAAGATATCATTCTTATTAATCCCCTAAAAATTCATTTTCGGACGATTAACCCCCTAAAGTTTCATCTTCGAACAAATAAAACATAATTCCTAAGAGCAGTAAAGAGACAGGGGCAGGCTAAACCGGCTGAGCCAGCGGCTGGGCTGTGCAGTGATGTTTGCGGAGCTTCTCTCCAGGTTCACTGCGGTGGACGCAGGTAGCCCAGGAGCTCCAAAAAAGGAGATGAAGATGCACGGGGCGTCGGTGCATGCTTCAAACGCCGAATTCTGCAATCCGGTGGTGACTGGGACCAGAAACGGGTAGGAACCCAGACATGTGAGCACCATGCATTTCACGCAGGCCAGCAACATGTTTGGCTCACGGTTCTCGTGAGGTCAAGTTGCTACTATCAGCCTTGAGCTGGATTGCTAACGGAAAGATGCTTGGCCGCTCAGCCTACTGCCACATTTCGCGCTGCACTTTTGCCCCCCCAACAGCCTCGCCGGTGATCGTCGCTGCCGCCAAGATAGGCTCTCTTGGATGGAACTGTGTGTCGAAGCAATGCTCCTGACCATACAACATACTCATCAGATTAGGGTTTGTGAGTTTCGTTTATAAAGGGACTACAGCGGCATAAGCCCTCGTGCACCCATGGAAAGAAGACTGACAATCACAATGTTTCTAATAACCCCTCCGAAAATACTATAGGGGCCTTAATACTTACAATAGGGTTCTGGGGCCCATTATACTACAAATGTTATAAGGAGCCCCCAAAATAGTATACGTAACTATTAAAGCCTCTATATTATGTTAGTGTCATGAAAAGCAGGGCTCTTGAACCGTAAACCCTAAATCCTAAATCCCAGACCCAAGCCTCGGGTGGCTTCTACCTTCGCGTAGAACCGTTCTCGTTACATCCCCAGATCATGGGGCTTGGCGAGTATGGCTCCGTAGAGGCATCCTTAAAGGGATCTGTAGGGTTTGGGGTTTAGGGTCTACTCAAAGGAGCATGGGACTTAGTAAGTAAGGCTATAAGTACCTTAATTGGAGTTATAAACAGATCTAACTAGAGAGTTACCTTATGTACAAGCCTAGTTACTAATTTAAGTCCCATGATGGGAGTTTCCGAAAATTAAGGGACCCTAATGTAGTACCCTAAATAGTAGGACCCTTATTATAAGGACCCCAAAACAAGGTACCCCTAATTTCGGAAATTCTCCCTGACCCTAAACCCTAAACCCTAAACCCTAAACCCCAAGTACTCTAAAGCTTGGAGCCTAGGTTCCGACTCCCTAAACTCACAGACTGGCCTTTCAAAGGAGGGACCCTTTAAAGGGGACTAAAAGGAGGGACCCTTTAAAGGGATCTATAGGGATTCTGTAAGGGTTTAGGGGTTTTGGGGGTTTAGGGGGCTTAGGGGGTTTAGGAGGGACCCTTAATGGGGACCCCTACCCTATAATGGGCTATATAACGGGTGGATAATAGCCAGATTAAGGGTATTTATACCTAGGGGTCCTTATTGAGGGTCCCTCCTTTTACCTTTAGGCCTTGTTTAAGGTCTGGGAGTTTCCTGTAAGAGGGTTCCCTTTAAGGGGTCGATAAGGGTTTCCTTTAAAGGGGTCGATATGGGTTTACTATACTACAGGGGGCCTTAAGAATTAGAATAGGGTTTTGGGGCCCATTATACTCATACTCTAATTATACTAAATAAGGAAGTATTGGTAATGATTTAGGCCCGTAAAGTACCTCTGTTGCAGACTTCAAGCTTGAGATGAATCCACAGCTTGTGAAGTCTAGATTTCTGCAGTCCTGCACTTCCACGCTCCTATATTGGAGCCTTAGTGATTCGAAGTTCCAGCCGTGTTTTTGAACAAGAATACACCCCTAAACCCAAACTAAATCGTATGCTTTACCTGCTCGGCCCTGCGGGAAGAGAGGTGGTCCTGCGTCTCAAGCGAGAGAAGTGGCGTGGCCATGGCAGGCTATTTTTGTGCACTATGTGAGTATACCGGAAAAATTGGGCTCGTGTTTTTCATCGGTGTGTACTGGATTTGCCTTCGGAAGCCCTTAGCAGGGCATTGAATACTTATTCAGGCCCGCATAACACCTATCGGCGAACCGCAAAGGATTGCTGAAGCGTCTGCGGAGTTCAATATGAGGGTCTTAACAACTGAAATAGGGTTTTGGGGCCATTCTACTATAATTACACTAAGGAACCACCAAAATGGGGTAGGTAATCATGGAGGCCCTTTTTATCACGCCTTTGGATTGATGACATGGCCCTAATGGAGCCGGATGGCTTAGGTTCTGTGATCTCTGTCTGTCTAATTTCCTTTAGGGCTGAGACGGTTTAGGGTTTAGGGTCGCAGATTATTGCTTAGGTTTCGGCATACTTGGGAGCTTCCGAAAATAGGAGATACTGACTATAGTACCCTAAATAGTAGGATCCGTATTATCCCCAAACTAGGTGCCCCTGATTTGCGACAGTTTGTGGTATGTCTTAGAAGGTGCCCCCACCCTGTAATAGTGGTATATTAGGAATATAATAGGGCCCTATTATAAGACTTATTGTCCCTATTACAGGGTGGGAGCAGCTTCTAAGGTATGTCTACACCTGCCTGAGAACCAGACTTGCGAGCCGCCAAGAGGCAACAGTAGCAGCTCTGATAATGTAGGAATCTGATTCAGGAAAGGGATCCCGACAGGGATCTACAAGGGTTCTATTTTAGGGTTTAGGGTGTAAGGGTTCAGGGTTTAGGGCTTAATGTAGAAACCTGATTAAGAAGCCCTGGGCCTTTATTAGGGTTCCTCCAAAGGGGTCGATAAGGGTTACAAAGAATCAAAAAAGGGTACTATAATAATGTAGGAACCTGATAAAGAAGCCTTGGGCCTGTATTAGGGTTCCTTATATGAATCCTACTGCTTTGGAAGCTATAGGCCCAGGGTTTCTTAATCAGGTTCCTACTGATAGAGGCCACTACTACAGCTCCTAAACCAGACTTGAACAGGCGACGTCGACGACGACAACGACCATCATACTTTGGGTATGGCCCCCGTACAGTAACAGTCGATAATAGGGCTACTATTAAGATCCCTATATCTCTATATTATTTATCCAACTGTTACTGGGTGGGGGCAGTACCCAAATCATACTCACAAAATACTAGCGAACGGCGACAGGAATGCTAGCGTCAAGTACCAACAAGCTGCTTGAGACACGTTCACGAGAATTGAGCTTGAGCAGTATGGCAATCGTTTGGGTGTGAAGCCGGCTACCCAGAGAGCCCAATACCCCTTAATTGAGCAATATACCTTGAATCATAAGGGGCTTCATATTATGATTTAAGCTATATATATTCCTCAATTAAGGGATATTGGGCTCTCTGGGTACTTAGAGGATCATGGGACTTAGTAAGTAGGTTATAACTAGGGTTATAAGTCCCCTAAGTGGGGTTATCCTACTTATATCCTACTTATAGCCATACTTATTAAGTCCCATGATCCTCCAAGTACTGGTGGTGCTGCAGACGCATGCTAAGTGTTGAGCGTCAAGCGGTACAGAGAACATGAAGGGTCGGTTGGGTTTGGGGTTTAGAGTTTATGTAGGGTTTCAGGGTTTAGGGTTTATGTAGAGTTTCAGGGTTTAGGGTTTCTGTAGGGTTTCAGGGTTTAGGGTTTTTCGGTCGGTTGACAGTGCTCATGCTGCCAAGCTTTGGACCTGGATGCTGGCGATGTTTGACTGACTGTAGCCTCTGGCTGTTTGGGCTTTTGCAACGGCCCCTCAGCGATGATGACGATGACGATGATGAAGAAGGAGAAGAATCATCATCATGAGCATCACAGTTACACAGATAAACAAGAACGACAGCCATGATGGCAATAACAGCAAGAAAATGCTTGTAAATGATCGCACCAAGATCACCGAGCCTGTCCTCTGTAAGGTCGATAATATATCGTGCTGAATAGTTGGAATATGGTTCCGGGGCTCACTATACTAGAATTACAATAGGGAACCAACATATTAGTATGGTATGGGCCGGGTAATTATTACGGCCCCTATACTAAACTAATTGCAGCATCCCTTGCAGAAGACTTTTTTCGAGCACCGGTGCGTCTGCGGCGCTCCCACGTCGAGGGGCTCCGAGGGCCCCTCGTTGATTTTTCTGCTAGGGTTGTTTATGAAGGCCCTTCGGGCTTAGGGCTTTGACTAGTAAGGCAACTTTAGGTTTTTGGAGCTCTAAATACGGAGAGTTTCGAGTCGGATTGCCTCTGGATAGGGCTTGCGGCTTGGGTCTCAACGAAGTGTCCACTCTGCCTCCAGAATCGAAGGAGAGAAAGGCCATGGTACGAGGGATCCCGGGGCCTGAAACGATCGGCGGGCGACCTCCGAAGTGCAGTCTCACTCCCACGCGAAGGCCGCCTGGTGCATGCTGAGATGGGATGACTTCTATGCTAGGGCCTTTCGTGCATAGACGCCTCTCAGAGAGTTCGACTCCTTCCATAAGGCCTTAACCCGAAGATCCCAAACTCACAAAAGCACCGGCTGAATGAACCTCCTACAGGATCCCAGAGCCGACAGCGAGTCATAGAACCCGTACATAGAACCCTCATAGAGCCCTCATGCACGTGCCCCAAGAGAAGAACCCATCTGGAGTGCGAAAGATGAAAGGGACCCGAATTTGAGCCTTGAATTGCACAATCCTTAGTCTGTTGCCGGTTGCCAGTATGAGATTGATTGCAGCTATGACTATGGTTGTGGATACGTGACGTATGTTTGTGTGTATATATATATATATGTAGTATGTACATGTGTGCGTATACATACAGAATAAAAGGCGCTGCTGCTGTACGACCCCCGATGAGCCCTAAGACAGCTTAGCCAGAGATCCCAATAGCCCTTAATTAAGCAATCTACCTCAAAATATAAGGGGCTTCGTAATATGATTTAAGGTATAGTCCCTAATCAAGGGGTATTGGGCTCTCTGGGTACTAGAGTATGCTTCTATAGCCCACACTAACTGCTCAGACCCTCGTGGTGGCCCCAAAAGGCTAAACCCTAGACTAAAGCCTACTTCTAAACACGTTATAAGTTATAATACCTACATCCGAAAGTATTCAGACCTGTGAAGCCGCAGCCATAAACGCCTCGCCCTGATCGTCGTTGTAGTAGTCCCGGAGGTCATCCTCGTCCATGCAAGCCTCCCCCAGTAGGCTCGGAGGAAACTCCGGGTGCTTGGGTTCAGGCCCAGAGAGCCCAATACCCCTTCATTCAGGAATATGCCTGAAATCATATTAGGGATCGAATTTTATGATTTACGGTACATTGCTTAATTAAGGAATATACCTTAAATCATATTGGGGATCCTCTTATAATTCATGGTATATTGCTTAATTAAGGGGTATTGGGCTCTCTGGAGGTTTAGGTTTTTCGGGATGCTGCAGGTGATCGGAATTAAGTGTAAGGCTTTTAGGGTTTAGGGCTGTTAGAGTTTAGGGTTTAGGGTTTAGGGAGTCTTCCAAAGATTTTAGGTCTGGAGGTGTTCGGGGTTGCGGTTCAATTTCTGTGTTTTTGAATGTCGGGGTTGGGAGACTCAAGCTACCCATAGGCTCCATTGAAGTTCCTTTCTGGGATTACCTTGCAGGATCTTAAATATGAAAGCCTAAGTATGAACCGCAAAAAAGCTCCCGAGAGAGCCCAAGACCCCTTAATTAAGGAATATAGCTTTAGTCATAATATGAAGCCCCTTGTAACTTAAGGTATATATCTTAATTAGGGGGTATTGGGCTCTCCGCGTAATTCAAAGCCAGGTCCCTCGGATGATGGAACCCAGCAGTTGCAGGGAAGCCTGTAAATACTGGCCTTGTAGAACTCTTCTTCCACGCTTTTTCTAGAACCCTTGCGGAATCCGAGCAAAACCAAAGAGATGTAGAGCTCTCGTAGAACCCTGACACTAGCCTTACAGGCCTTATAGGACCCCTTATTTAAACACTTTGTCGGAACCCTCTTTTACAGCTCTTGTGTCTCCCGACTGCCCTAGCCCTAAACGCTAATTAAGCCCTTAATCCTAAACCCCTCAAACCCTAAACCCCTAAAGCCCTAAAGCCTAAAACTCTAAACTCCGAAAACCCTAAACCCTACACCCCTAAAATCCCTAACCCTAAATCCCTAAACCCTAAACCGCTAACACCCTAAAACCCCTAAAAACCGCTAAACCCTAAACCAGGGGTCTAAAGCCCTAAAAACCCTACTAGACCCAAGAGTAGCCTAGGAATAAAAAGGGTGCCCTTTTTGGTTTAAAGGGGCTTATAAGGGAACCTGAACCCCGAAAAAAGGGAATAAGGGCCTGCTCTAGGTCCTAGCCTAGTGACCGGGCCTCATGCATCCACCACGCATCACTCCCCAAGGATTCGAACTCCCGCTTCGTCGTCCGCACCTGCGCGGGGGAGGGGAGGTAAAGGCGCTAAGGCTCAGGAGTTTTAGGGTTTAGGGTTTTAGGGTTTCCCAAAGGGTCCTAGGTCCTAGGTATTGTTATGGGGGTACTTCCCCAAATTATAATCGTAATTCTTATAATGTAGAAACCCCACATTCTACTGTGCAGGTACTTTGGACCCTTTGGGCTTAGGGCTCTTTACTCTGTACGGTTTTCGTGCTTTCAGGGTTTGTTTTTCGCCGGGTTCAGCGCTGAATATGCGGTTGTAGGGGTCAGGGGTGTTCAGGGTTCACAAGTTTAAGGCTTCAAGGGTGGGGGTTTCCCAGAGATCCCAATACCCCTCAACTAACGAAGATTCCTTCAATTGCAAGGGGATCCCTGATATGATTTAAGGTATATTCCTTAATTAAGGGGTATTGGGCTCTATGGGTAATGTAAGATTCCGACTCTGCAATGCTGCCTACCGATGCAGTGGCGCTCCTCTCTGAGGGTCCAGGAGGGAAAATCTGGAAAAACTTCGTGTTTAAGTGGAATCTGTAGCTGGA